TCAGGAAAAATATCAAGGGTGCCAACAATTTCGGCCATGACTGTATGTTATTTGCTTAAACAAACATCCATGTTTGTTAACTAATTTGGCTAAACAAAATATATATATATATTAAGAAACTTAGACTGTCAGCCCCTTCCTCCTCACACTTAGTTTCACTTTCTTCTTGTGAACATCTATTCCATTCCAAACAATCAGAAAAATATTGTTTCTATTCTATTCACTGAACTTCTTGAAACTTAGCACTGAAGTGGTTGATTCTGTATTCATAGGTTTGCAGAAGTTAGGATTAAGGTCTTTTTCTTAACTCTGTTCATGTTATAACATTTTTGCTGTGAAGAAGAGGCATGTGATCTCCGCTAAGTCAAATTCAGTTTTGAGAACTGCAAAATAAACCAAGCATCTGTGATAATATCTTGTAGGCAGAGAAACTGCCCAATAATCTTACAAAAACCGCTGGAAGAGCATGACATTGTGAATGGATTAATGTAATTTATTTACCAAAAAAAATTAAATGTATACAGCCTTATTCTACATAATTAAAAAACTAATCTTTATTTCATGATGGAATAACCTTTGGATGGTAATATATTTTCCTCAAAAAGCATTTTATTAAAAAAAATCCGATTTAAATAAAACAAATCCGATTTAAATAAAACAAATCCGATTTAAATAAAAAAAAATCTGATTTTTTTATTTTTTTTTTAAAAATCATAGATTTTTATCCACCCTGACTTTGGTTTATATGGGCAAATAAGAAACCGAGAATAAAGTATGAGGTACTGTGTAGGGCAAAATGGAATGGGGGATTGGGCCTGCCTAATTATAGGAAATATTATTTATCGGTGATATTATCACGAATTGTAGGTTGGACATATAATTCACAAGGGAAATGTTGGGTAAACATGGAAGGGACTCTGAGTAGGGCACAATTAGAGAAGATTATTTTGATGCCACATAGATTTTGTATATTGGATGTGAATACTAGTCCGTTGACCAGGAATGTTTTAAGAGTTTGGGATATAATATAAAAGCAAAAGGGGTGAAAATATAATTGAATACTGACTCCCCTGGTGGGAACGTAGTATTTCCCCCCAGGGAAGGATAATATTTCTGGGAAATGGATTAAAGATAAAAACGCATGTTTGACAAATATATTGGATAAAAAGGAAATTGTACAGTTTTCAAGACTAAAAGAAGAAAAAATAATCATTTTTCACATTAGACGAGTGGCGATATTGTCAATTAGGTCATTTTGTTTCAATGCTCCCACAACCACTGAGGACATCAGAGGATCTGTACCCATTTGAAAAGTTGTTAAAATGTACCAAAACAATCTACCTCTAGGATTTATAAGATCCTTGTGGATATGGAAGGAGTTGATCCTCCCCTGTTCTTGGAGAAATGGAAAAAAGGAGCTTGGCACAGAACTGAATGAGCAACAAAAAAATAAAATACAGGCATACCTCGGTTTACGAATGTAATTCTTTCTGCGGGACTTTTCGTATAGCGAAAAATTTGTAAACTGAAACGCTGTTTCCCATAGGAATGCATTGAAAATAAATTAATCCGTTCCGGAGGTCAGAAAAAAGTAAACACTACTAAAATACTGCAGGAGTTATTTTATCAAGTCATGTGGTATTTTGTAGTGACAACCATGTGTTAATGTTTCAGCTGTCAGCGGGGTTTCCCATTGACAGCTGAATGTAAAAGAAAGAATTGCCGGCAATTAAAAAAAAATAATTTAAAAAACGGCGTGGGGTCCCCCCTTCTATACATACCAAGCCCTTCGGGTCTGGTATGGATTTTGAGGGGAACTCCCACACCAAAATTAAAAAAAAATGGCGTGGGGGTCCCCCCAAAATCCATACCAGACCTTATCCGAGCATGAACCCACAAGGAGGTGGGGCCACACGCGTGATGTCACTGGGTGGCCCTGACCCTTACATATTTAAGAACTGTCAAGCCAGCTCACAGGCAGACAGTCGGGAGCCATCATCGGGAGTGGAGGCTTTTTTTTTAGATTGTTTTTTCAGGTCAGCGGTGGACATCGTGATTGACATTGGATGTTCTGCGGGGGACATTCTTTTAGTTTTTTCTTTTAATAAAGGACTTGTCAAAAACCATATCCTGTCATTTTTCACACTACATTTTTTGTGAATGAGTAACGGGACCATGTACCCCATACTCATTTACATGAGGGGATCTGGGGCCCCCTTGTTAAAAGTGGGGTTCCAGATTCCGATAAGCCCCCTGCCCGCAGACCCCCACAACCACCAGCCAGGGTTGTGGGGAACAGGCCCTTGTCCCCATCAACATGGGGACAAGGTGCTTTGGGGGGGGAGCCCCCCTGCCCCAAAGCAGCCCCCCATGTTGGGGTCATGTGGCCTGGTATGGTTCAGGAGCTTGCTCACCCCCCCCTTTCCTGACCTGCCGGGCTGCATGCTCGGATAAGGGTCTGGTATGGATCTTGGGGGGGGCCCACGCCATTTTTTTTTTTTTTTTTAATTTTGGCGTGGGGGTTCCCCTCAAAGCCCATACCAGACCCGAAGAGCTTGGTATGAATGGAGTGGGGACCCCACAACATTGTTTTATTTATTATGGCGCCGGCTTTTAAACATAATTACCGTTTTTTTTTTTCTTCACTATAGCTCGGAGATTCAGCTGTCAGTTTCCCCCCAGCTAAAAGAAAGTTTCCTTTTAGTTTATTTCCCCAAGTTAAAAGACACAATGTTTCCTTTTAGTTTCTTAAAATAAACAAAGTTTCCTTTAACTCAAAGGAAAGTGACAGCTAATTCTGTGAGCTATAGTGAAGGAAAAAAAAAACCACACAATTGCATTTAAAAATATCGGCACTGACATACAATTCGTATTGCGAAAAAAAATTATAAAAAAATTTGTAAAACAAGGCATTATTCTCAAAGGATTTTCATTCGTAAACTGAAAATTACGTTAACCGAGGCGTTCGTAAGCCGAGATACACCTGAATTTAAATTAGCACGAGGTGATGAATATGAGCACAGTTGAAATGAATTACGAATATTTGGCAAGATGGTAAATTACACCGAGTGTGGCACATAAACAACAATTAGATGTTCACCTTTATGTTGCAGAGGTTGTAGGAATAAGGGAACAATGGCACATATATGGTGGGAATGTCTTAAAATACAGGAGTATTGGCAGGAAATAATCAACATATTCAGAAGATATTTGGGATCACCATACACACCCATGAGTGTGTTTCTCGAACAATGACATCCATCATACTGTTCAGCTCCTCCCCTGTCTTTTCCCCTCTAAATTCCTTTTAATTTCCCTTAAAGGAGGAAGACCCCCCTTTAAGCAGGAGACCCCTTCCGTCCATCCAGCTGTAGGAGACCTCTGACTACCTGGATCTGCTTTGGATTAGCTCTGCATCCTTAAGGGAAGATCAACCCACTTTGACCGGACCAGTTCTCTCCTTGATTGAGGATCTATGGGCTTTGATGCATACCGCTTACTTACATCTGTCTTCTGGTGAGTGCGCATTTCTGCTTTTCTTCACGGACCGCCACCATTGATTTTCTACTTGTCATCTGGCACGTTTTTATGAATAGACTTTAGTGGACTTTCTTTCAGACTTTATTACCTAGCGCTGCACTTTTGTTGATATTACTCTGTTTAAGTATTTTTAGTTGCTTAGAGTGCTTAGCTGCTTTTTTGGATTAGCGCTCACTCTTTTATTATTATATACATATTATTTACACCACTGTTGGTTCTCCTTTAAAACTCTTTTCTGAGAGGGTCTTACTGATCTCCTGTCTTTTGGCTCAAAATGTATAAGACCTGTAAGACGGCAACAGGCTATACATTTATTTTTCGGATTTACCATGGAAAATATAGTCACGTGGAGCCCCCCAGATGCCCAGACTACATGGGGAGCAGGGGCAAGATAGTTTGGGACTTGGTGTCACCCTTTTTCCATATGAGGTACCATTTATACATGGACAATTTTTATTCAAGCGTGCCACTATTTAGACAAATTTGGATTTGGTGCATGTGGCACCGTGCGACCTAACCGTCGGGGCTTCCCCCACCCATCTTAAGGGGAAAAGCCTGCTTGAAAAATTATGAATTGCTCTTCAACAACCAGATGATGAAGCCATACTTAGTTTCCCTTAAAGCCAGGCACTGGTACAAAAAAGTGTCTGTATATTTATTTCAATTGGCTCTGTACAATGCTTTTGTGCTTTACAAAGCAAAGGAAGAAGTAGACCCATCCTAAAATTCCAGGAAGAGGTCATAATGCCCATTTTGTATCCAAAAGGTGCTGTGGCCCAATCCCCCAATCCAGATGCAGTGAGCCGGCTGCATGCATTTTCCTGATGCCATTCCAGGTACCCCAACCCAAAAGTCACCCCCAAAAAAAGTTGCGTTTGTAGCAAACATGGAATTAGGCATGACACCTGCTTTTTTTGTTCCTCTTTTCCTGGCCAACCTGGTCTCTGCCTCAAGGACTGCATCCGTCGCAGTCATACACTAGGGAGGCATTAGTACAGGGTACAGCATGGCACAGTCCAAGGCAAATAAATACACAGGGTCTTGAAAGATGTTAGGTAGTCAGGAAACTGGCTATCGTATTTTGAGAGACCCTAATATCTGCTTGATACAGTTTAAAAAAAAAAAAAAGGAAAAAAAAACAAAATAAAGTAGAAAAAATTTTTAAAAATACAAAAACAGTTGTCATTTTATTGAGTTACTGCTTTATTGTTAACCTTTCCTGTTTTCTTTGCAGGAATGCCATTCAGCTGCAACACTGATCTGTTTATTCTGACAGTAACAGGGTCTTACTCTCAGAATATACAGTGTGTGCAGCGCAGTTGGATGAGATTTTTCATCCGCAGTTAAAAAAGAACATATATGCCCATGCAGGGCTTAAAATTTCAAGTCCTGAGCTACTAGCCAGGCCTTAAGAGTTACTCGCCACCAACAAACACACACAAACAGAGTCACCTGTAAACACACACAGACATGTACATATACACACACACATGCACAGAGACACATGTATACACACACAGGCACGTACAGACACGCATACACACAGATAAATGTACACACGCACAGACACATGTACACGCGCACATACACGCAGACACATGTGCAGTGGGGATCGAAGGTTTGGGCACCCCAGCTAAAAATTTGTATTAATGTGAATAAAGAAGCCAAGGAAAGATGGAAAAATCTCCAAAAGGCATCAAATTACAGATTAGACATTCTTATAATATGTCACCAAAAGTTAGATTTTATTTCCATCATTTACACTTTCAAAATAACAGAAAACAAAAAAATGGTGTCTGCAAAGGTTTGGGCACCCTGCAGAATTTATAGCATGCACTTCCCCCTTTGCAAAGCTGAGACCTGAAAGTGTCATGGATTGTTCTCAATCATCGTCTGGGAAGACCAGATGATGTCAATCTCAAAGGTTTTAAATGCCCAGACTCATCTGACCTTGCCCCAACGATCAGCACCATGGGATCTTCTAAGCAGTTGTCTAGAAAACTGAAACTGAAAATAGTTGACGCTCACAAAGCTGGAGAAGGCTATAAGAAGATAGCAAAGCGTTTTCAGATGTCAATATCCTCTGTTCGGAATGTAATTAAGAAATGGCAGTCATCAGGAACAGTGGAAGTTAAAGCAAGTTAAAACAAAAAAAATGGCGTCTGCAAAAGTTTGGGCACCCTGCAGAGTTAATATCTTGTACTGCCCCCTTTGGCAGGTATCACAGCTTGTAAACGCTTTTTGTAGCCAGCCAAGAGTCTTTCAATTCTTGTTTGAGGTATCTTTGCCCATTCTTCCTTACAAAAGTCTTCCAGTTCTTTGAGATTTCTGGGCTGTCTGTCACGCATTGCTCTTTTAAGGTCTATCCATAGATTTTCAATTATGTTGAGGTCAGGAGATTGTGAAGGCCATGGCAAAACCTTCAGTTTACGCCTCTTGATGTAATCCCCCGTGGATTTCGAGGTGTGTTTAGGATCATTATCCATTTGTAGAAGCCATCCTCTCTTTAACTTCAGCTTTTTCACAGATGGCATCAAGTTACCATCCAAAATTTGCTGAAATTTTATTGAACCCATTTCTCCTTCTACTCGTGAGATGTTCCTTGTGCCACTGGCTGCAACACAACCCCAAAGCATGATTGATCCAACCCCATGCTTAACAGTTGGACAGAGGTTCTTTTCATTAAATTCTGTGCCTTATTCTCCAAACGTACCTTTGCTCATTCCGGCCAAAAAGTTCAATTTTAACCTCATCGGTCCACAGAACTTGTTTCCAAAATGCATCAGGCTTGTCTATATGTTCATTTGCAAAGTTCAAACGATGATTTTTGTGGTGAGGACGTAGAAGAGGTTTTCTTCTGATGACTCTTCCATGAAGACCATATTTGTACAAGTATCTCTTTATAGTGGAATAGTGTACCACAACTCCAGTGTCTGCCAGATCTTTCTGGAGGGATCGTGCAGTCAAACGTGGGTTTTGAATTGTTTTTCTCACAATCCTGCGAGCTGTTCTGTCTGATATTTTTCTTGGTCTTCCAGATCTTGCTTTAACTTCCACTGTTCCTGATGACTGCCATTTCTTAATTACATTCCGAACAGAGGATATTGACATCTGAAAACGCTTTGCTATCTTCTTATAGCCTTCTCCAGCTTTGTGAGCGTCAACTATTTTCAGTTTCAGTTTTCTAGACAACTGCTTAGAAGATCCCATGGTGCTGATCGTTGGGGCAAGGTCAGATGAGTCTGGGCATTTAAAACCTTTGAGATTGACATCATCTGGTCTTCCCAGACGATGATTGAGAACAATCCATGACACTTTCAGGTCTCAGCTTTGCAAAGGGGGAAGTGCATGCTATAAATTCTGCAGGGTGCCCAAACCTTTGCAGACACCATTTTTTTGTTTTCTGTTATTTTGAAAGTGTAAATGATGGAAATAAAATCTAACTTTTGGTGACATATTATAAGAATGTCTAATCTGTAATTTGATGCATTTTTGGAGATTTTTCCATCTTTCCTTGGCTTCTTTATGCACATTAATACAAATTTTTAGCTGGGGTGCCCAAACTTTCGATCCCCACTGTACATGCATACACAGACACATGTACATGCATACACAGACACACACAATCACACACACACACCCCCTATAAAAAGTTTGCAGTACTTCATTTTTCACTCACAGAGCCAGGTACTGCACTCTAGGGGGAGGCAGAGAGCACAGCACACACTCCTTCCTTTGCTTTCACTGCGCTCAGCTATTGAGTGACAATGACAGATCCGGCCAGAGCTCCGAGCCTGCTCAGCAAGATGGCCCTGAGGGACACACTCGCCCCCACCATAATTTCCACTCGCCATTGGCGAACAGGCGAGTGGAAATTTCAAGACCTGTGCCCAAGCATGGGGGCCTGGGGTGGTCAGTGGATGGATCACCCCTATGCTTCGGCACATATTTTTAAAAAAAATTTGCCAGAGATTTCTTCTTCCACATAAATCGATGTGAATAGAGGCATCTGTTAGGTTCTTTTTTTTTTTTTTTTTTTTTGTTTAGTTCACGGGCTGACCGAAAAAAAAAAAAGCATTTCATTTATGCCCACCATTAGAAGTGGGTGGACTCAGGGTGGTATATTCTAATGGTGGGCATACCACACACTTTTTATGGCATAGATTTCTTCTCTTTTTTTCATTCAGCCCACAGGCTGCATCAAAAAAAAAAAAAAGAAAAAAGAACATAACATACAGTCAGGTCCATAAATATTGGGACATTGACACAATTCTAACATTTTTGGCTCTATACACCACCACAATGGATTTGAAATGAAACGAACAAGATGTGCTTAAACTGCAGACTGTCAGCTTTAATTTGAGGGTATTTACATCCAAATCAGGTGAACGGTGTAGGAATTACAACAGTTTGCATATGTGCCTCCCACTTGCTAAGGGACCAAAAGTAATGAGACAGAATAATAACCATAAATCAAACTTTCACTTTTTAATACTTGGTTGAAAATCCTTTGCAGTCAATTACAGCCTGAAGTCTGGAACGCATAGACATCACCAGACGCTGGGTTTCATCCCTGGTGATGCTCTGCCAGGCCTCTACTGTCTTCAGTTCCTGCTTGTTCTTGGGGCATTTTCCCTTCAGTTTTGTCTTCAGCAAGTGAAATGCATACTCAATCGGATTCAGGTCAGGTGATTGACTTGGCCATTGCATAACATTCCACTTCTTTCCCTTAAAAAACTCTGGTTGCTTTTGCAGTATGCTTTGGGTCATTGTCCATCTGCACTGTGAAGCGGGCGTCCAATGAGTTCTGAAGCATTTTGGCTGAATATGAGCAGATAATATTGCCCGAAACACTTCAGAATTCATCCTGCTGCTTTTGTCAGCAGTCACATCATCAATAAATACAAGAGAACCAGTTCCATTGGCAGCCATACATGCCCACGCCATGACACTACCACCACCATGCATCACTGATGAGGTGGTATGCTTAGGATCATGAGCAGTTCCTTTCCTTCTCCATACTCTTCTCTTCCCATCACTCTGGTACAAGTTGATCTTGGTCTCATCTGTCCATAGGATGTTGTTCCAGAACTGTGAAGGCTTTTTTAGATGTCGTTTGGCAAATTCTAATCTGGCCTTCCTGTTTTTTAAGCCTACCAATGGTTTACATCTTGTGGTGAACCCTCTGTATTCACTCTGGTGAAGTCTTCTCTTGATTGTTGACTTTGACACACATACACCTACCTCCTGGAGAATGTTCTTGATCTGGCCGACTGTTGTGAAGGGTGTTCTCTTAACCAGGGAAAGAATTCTTCGGTCATCCACCACAGTTGTTTTCCGTGGTCTTCCGGGTCTTTTGGTGTTGCTGAGCTCACCGGTGTGTTCCTTCTTTTTAAGAATGTTCCAAGCAGTTGTTTTGGCCTACGCCTAATGTTTTTGCTATCTCTCTGATGGGTTTGTTTTGTTTTTTCAGCCTAATGATGGCTTGCTTCACTGATAGTGACAGCTCTTTGGATCTCATCTTGAGAGTTGACAGCAACAGATTCCAAAATGCAAATGGCACACTATAAATGAACTCTGGACCTTTTATCTGCTCATTGTAATTGGGATAATGAGGGAATAACACACACCTGGCCATGGAACAGCTGAGAAGCCAATTGTCCCATTACTTTTGGTCCCTTAACAAGTCGGAGGCACATATGCAAACTGTTGTAATTCCTACGCCGTTCACCTGATTTGGATGTAAATACCCTCAAATTAAAGCTGACAGTCTGCAGTTAAAGCACATCTTGTTTGTTTCATTCAAATCCATTGTGGTGGTGTATAGAGCCAAAAATGTTAGAATTGTGTCGATGTCCCAATATTTATGGACCTGACTGTATATGCCCAACAAGGACCAGCGGTGTACTGGTACATCAGTGGATTTTAAGTGGTTACACCAAGATGATGCCAGTATCACACTGGTATAATCCTGGTAATGTTTTTTTCAACCGGCGATTGCCATTCATGTAAAAGCAATCCTAGTGGCTAATTAACTGCAGGATTGCTTTTTAAAGTAGCGAGAGGAGATGCACCCCCCCCACCCCCCACTGCCTTCCATGACTTTCTTTGGGAGGTCCCATGCCTGAGAATGCAGCCGGCATTTCCGCTAACTGACCATAGAGCATATTAGAGACAGGAATGGGACCAATCATCTCTATAGTCTAAGAAACCAGAAGCTACGAGCATTTCATCACTTCGGTTGCATCGGATATAAACAGCGTCATTTTTAGGGATCTGGTCACACTGATCTTGATAAAGATCAGATGATTTAGGTGCAGAGGAGATATCTAGAGTCTAAGAGACCCCAGATTTCTCAGAAAAGAATACAGTTGTGGCCAAAATTATTCAACCCCCACTGAAATTGAGTGTTTTTTGGCCAGTTTGACATTGCTTTTGATCATTCAGTCATCTTGCTTACATTTACAATTAAAGAGGCACTTGTAGGTCAGACAAATATAACATAACAGTTATAATGAAATAACCACAAATTTCTTTTCTGTGCTCACAGCATTATCAGTTTTATTCAACCCCCAAGTGACATTCAATCTTAGTACTTAGTACAGCATCCTTTTTACAGTTATAACAGCTTTTAAACGTGAAGCATAGCTTGACACAAGTGTCTTGCAGCGATCTACGGGTATCTTCGCCCATTCTTCATGGGCAAAGGCCTCCAGTTTAGTCACATTCTTAGGCTTGCGCACTGCAACTGCTTTCTTTAAGTCCCACAGAGGTTCTCAATCGTAAGTCTGGTGACTTTGCGATGGCCACTCCAAAATGTTCCAGCCTTTCCTCTGCAACCATGCTCTAGTGGACTTGGAGGTATGCTTGGGATCATTGTCCTGTTGAAAGGTCCAACGTCTCCCAAGCCTCAGGTGTGTGACGGACTGCATCACTTTCATCCAATATCTCCTGGTACTGAAGAGAATTCATGGTACCTTGCACACGCTGAAGCTTCCCTGTACCTGCATAAAAGCAAAACAGCCCCAAAGCATGATTGACCCTCCACCATGCTTCACAGTAGGCAAGGTGTTCTTTTCATCATAGGCCTTGTTCTTCTCCACCTCCAAACATAGCTGTTGATCCATGGGCCCAAACAGTTCTAATTTTGTTTCATCAGTCCACAGAACACTATCCCACAACTTTTGTGGTCCACATGGCTTTTTTGGCATACTGCAGTCGACTCTTCTTATTCTTTGGAGACAGCAAGGGGGTACGCCAATGGGAGTTCTGGCACGGAGGCCTTCATTACGCAGTGTGCGTCTTATTGTGGGCTGAAACTTCTGTACCCACATCTGACAAATCTTTTCTCAGTTCTCAGCAGTCACACTTTCTCTCCACTCTAACGCTTCAGGTAGCGCACAGCAGTCGAAGTCAGCATCTTCTTTCTTGTGCCACGACCAGGTAGCGTTTTCAACAGTGCCCTTTTGCCTTTGAATTTGCGAATGATGCTTCCTAAGGTGTCTCTTGGTATGTTTACATCTTTGCAATCTTCTTATAGCCATTGCCCTTCCTGTGAAGAGAAATCACCTCTTCTCTTGTCTTCCTGGACCATTCTCTTGCCTTCACCATGTTTGTAACCACACCAGTAAATGTCTAGAAGGAGCTGAGTATCACAGTCATTTTAAAGCTGCAATTGGTGCTTATTATGCTTGATTGCTGCTCGGTGACATCCACAGGTGTTTTCAATACCTGATGGAAAGCACCTGTTGAACCTCTGTTCTTCAGAGTGGTAGTCTTTAAGGGCATTGAAATAATTGTGGCAATGAAAGAAACCACATAAGAATCCATTTACTACTGTATTACATATAAACAATTGATGTCCATTTTAGTTGCATTTGGGTAGTTACAACGTCCTTGTAGGATTTGATTCTGAATACAATTCCAAATGTACACTATGTCCCTAAACCCCTTTACAGCATTGGGGGTTGAATAAATTTTGGCCACAAACTGTGTACCTAGTCACTGCCTATTGCTATAACAGGGGATGTTTACTCATTCCGTGATAACAATAAAAGTGTTAAAAAAAATATGAAGGGGCAAGTGCAGTACAGCACCCCCGTCCTCACGCAGGTGTATGCACCATGCATGTTATGTATCGCCACAAATGTCATATCAAGGGCAGTAATTCTAGCACTAGACCCCTGTGTAAATCTTAAAGTGGTAGCCTGTAAAGGCTTTTTAAGCTTTCCCTATGGATATACAAAAAAGTATGTAGTTTGTCACCGTTTCCCAGTTTTAAAGCATGTCCTGTTTGGTACCTATTTACTTGGCATAACATCATTTTTATATTTAATCAAACAATTGGCAAATATATTGTGCTATTGTGCATTAAAATTTAAGAAAGCGCATTTGTTGAAAAATCTGACCGCAGTTTCTCCAGTAATTGAGGACTATTGTCAGGGGAAAAAAACAAGGAAGCCTGGCAAATGTGCAATGCTCAATATGTCCGTGCCAATGCTGCTCAATTTGGCCACGGCCAATTCGCGCAAAAATTCACAGACGGGCGGCATATAATCGCGCATTCCTGTGCCCAAAATCACACCGGCACACGCAGGGCGTGATAATTACTGATGCTCAGTGGCCTTTATAAGGACTGCAGCTCTGCTCAAAAATTGCTGGATCATCAGCCCCCTGTTCCTGTTTATACTGCTGAGAACCCGCTACCGACCAGGCTTGACCCTGACCTTGCTTTGGCTCTCTTGCTGGCTCTCTACCCCGCCTTGATCCTGACCTTGCTCCCTGTCTGCTGCTCTGTGTATGACCCCAGCTTGATCCCGACCTTGCTCCGGTCTGCTGCTCTGTAAATGATCCTGACCTTGCTCCTTTCCCGCTGTTCCGTACTGACCCTGGCTCTG